CTTTCCCTTTTTTTTTTACCCCTCTGTTCATTCAGAAACTATGACTTGAAGAATGTCATTAGGCTGTAATCCACTCATTCCATGTGGTGGTGGGAACAGAGAACTGGATATTTCATTTGGACTGAGTGAACCAGAGTCACTCTGAGCTGAGCCCCCGCTGCCATCAAACTGAGCTATTTTCTTCTTGATCATTTTTCTTTCTTTTGCTCGGCGATTCTGGAACCAGATTTTCACCTGTGGTGTTATTAATGAGATCAAATTAATTCGAAGTAGTAATCAAATTTTACAGTAATAATGGCAATGAAAATAAAGATATGTTAATAAAATAGAATTGTTTTTCTTCATTTATATTAGAAGTGATTTTTTGTGTGTACCTATATTCTTATGTATTTTTCTGAATTATTCTATATTCTTATGTATTTCTGAATTATTATTTTTACTGGGCATTATATTTATATATGTCTTTTACAGATGCATGTCATATGTATAAGTAGATACATCAGTATTGCTTAATCACAGCTAATTTCCCAGGCTAACTGTGCACATGTAAAGACTCTTATTTATTTGAAATCTACTTTTGGTTTAAGTATCTATGTTTTCTTATGTGAAAATATTTTCCTTATCATTAGGGGTTTTTTGTGTTCTTACTTCTCAATTCTGTGTTCTCGCGCAAACTGAACGTAGAAGCAGAGGAGGCCACTGAAAGAGGAAAATATTTTAGAGAACTGAATATGTATGTTCAGAAAGAACAAAAGTTTGTAAAATTCTAAAAAGAACAGTATCTTGTTTAAATTTACCTGGGGCAATACATCTGGTTGCTAAGGTATGAGGTGCCTTATTCAGCATCCTCCAACTGTAGCAGCACCACTGCAATTCTGTTATATAAGGACAGTCAATATACATGCAGGCTGCAGAGCTGTGCTTCCTAAGTGTGCTCCCCAGTGCAGGGATTTTAGGAAATTCTTTATCCTGAATTCCTCTAGTCTTTGTACGAACACAGCCAAGTCACCCTGGGCTGCTCAGGAGACTAACTTTATTCAGGACAGAGCTTCAATATGTACTTGTTATGAATGAATGCAGATCTGCTTTCCAGCTGGCTGAGGAAAAGATGAGCTGTAGAAATAGTGGCAACAAATTTGTAACAAAAAAAACCCCATAGATTATCTCGTATGATCACTCTTTGAATGCTGAGTTTTCATTTTCCTGGGTTACAGCTGAAATACATCCAATGCTTTGGAGTTTTCTGGCCACTGTTTTTATGTGACTGCAAGAATAAATAAAATCGAGAACAGATCTAAGATGCTGTTAAGCCGAACTGTTTCAATCCTAGCTGTCTAGCACATAAGAATAGGTACTTTTTATAGTAGAAATAAATCCTAATATTTAGTTACCCACATTTGGAGGTTTCTGTCAAATTAACCTATTCATTAATTTGTGTCTGTGTAGCGTGTTCTGTGTGCCCAATATACTCACAGACTTTATCATGGTGCCTTCGCACTACTCAGGACACAGAACGTGTGCTGGTGATGTCCCCCAGCAGTAACAGTACCTGGTGAATGGGTGTGTAGGAATGATGAATAGGCTCTGTGTACCTGTCTTTCAGAGAGTCCCAGGTTTGCTGCAAGTTCTGACTTTCTTCTTATTGTGATATATCTGTTGCAGTGAAATTCCTTCTCTAATTCCAGTCTCTGATGATCTGTGTAAACAACTCGGTACTTTTCTTTTGTTCTTGTTTTACCTGTTCAAGAAAGAAATATTATTAGTATGTTGACTTTGATTTTCTGTAGCATCTTGCAAATATCCCAAACATTTTCAGACATTCATTAAACTACAGAGTACTTGTGTGGGATTGCTTTCTGTGTCACAGAGAAGGAATATGAGATGAAGGGTGAATAAGTGAATGAGCATTGGTTATCATAACTGTCCTTCCCTCTTTATCTCCTTCTTTCTATAAACATACCTTTAAATGTAAAGTTTGAGTGAAAAACACCGTGATGCATCTTAAATAATTCACAGCAGTGTATAATTAGTGCTGGCTATATTTAATCTCACAGCGGTTTAATTTCAGGGTTTATTGAAGTGACTTCCGTGTATATGCAGGCATAAATAAACAGGATTTCAAGACTGAAGTTCAGTCACAGTTTATTTAGTTTTACCTAATTCTTTATTTGAATTTTTAAAGGTCACCTCTCTAAGGCAAAGAAATGTCATTTTTCTCTCTTGTGTGGCTGTAGGACATTCTTGCAAGTTGAATATTTGTTTGATTTGTTTTTCAAAATTGTACAGTCCTGCAAAATGCTGAGTGCCTGTAGAGCTGTTACTGGGAGAACTCTGTGTGCTAAGCTTCCCTTTCCAGTTGAAGGCATTCGGCAATTTGTAAGATGAGGCAATAAAATACTTGTAAAATTATCTCAGTATCATTCTCTCTCTAATGTATAAAATAAATATTCTTAGATGTATTGGATAAATACTGTTAAGAGAAGCATTACTTGATGTTTAGAAGATAGCTCTCATTTCATACGCTTTTAAAAACAATTCTTCATATAATAATAAGGAGAAATAACTTTTCAACTTATTTGTTCTCCTTTGCACTTTCAACAGCCAACAAGATAGTTTTCCTTTTTCTTCTGATCTTCCCAGGTTTTTTTTGATGTGAGATTTCTGGGACAAACTGTGGGACAAAGACTCCTTTAAAGTGGTTCCCTAAAATCCATTGAGGTGTTAAGATGAAGCACACGCCACACAAAGGAGCGACAAGGAGATCTTATCAAGAACCCCTTTCACATTCAGAAACACAAGCCAATTGGTTTGGAATTTACAAGCCCTAAACAAATGTCAGACTCTTTCATCTTAGCAGAGGAAAAAAGGACAGAAATAGATGAAGGAATATTTTTTCCTCAGTTCTCTCTAGTTTCAGATCAACAGTAAGGATCAACGGTGATATTTTTATCTGAAGGCTGGAGGTAGACACAGTGTAAGACATTTTGAAATACGCATAATTGGGGATGTTTTCCCAAATCCTGTGCCACTTTGATTTCTAGTGTGCAAGGTTTTCCTGACTAATTTTGATGGACTAAAACAATAATCAGACTATCTTAACTTTCTTTTAAGGTACAAATTGTTGGCTTTGAAATATTTGTTCTAAGTGATAGTTGTAATGTTAACAATAGTGCAGATATTCAGGTTCTTGTAAACTGAAGGCTTAGAAGGTAATCTTTGAAAACAAGTTAAAATTCAACAGGGTTATTCCGGCTTCACTATAATCAGCAAATATAGCCATGATTTGAGGGGGTGGAGAAAAGGAGTAGTTTTCCCCATTCCCCTTGGTCATAAAATTCACAGAGTATTTCTTCTGAAGACAATAAAGCCAGGAGAAGGCCTCTTTATTTGCTGTGAAAATCATCACCCTTTCCGGCAATATAACTCCTGAAGAAAAGAGGGAGAAGGAAGAGACAAGACTGCATATCAAAGCAAAGTGAAGTGTTGAAAGGGTCTGTTGCCTCAATATGACAGATAGGCCTCAAAACCTCAGACAATGTAGGCCAGTGGAAAAATAGATGTCACAACTAGTTTACAAAGCAAAATAAATTAGCATTAAAGCAGAGGCCTGGCCTTTTTTCCTGCTTTTCTGTTTTGCTTTCTGGCTGTATTTCTGCTATGATGTAATCTGAATTACTTGTACATCACTGCTTATTTAAACAGAGCCATGAAATGCATTGACTGTAGTTAAAAGAAAAAAGCTGAGGCTGATCATGCAAAGTATAAAAATAAAATTTTCTTTTGTTTAGTCCCCACAAAGTCCATTCTCTTTCTGAGAAGGTTCACTCCCAGATTAAGCTTCATAAAGTTTTAAAAAGTATAAAATCTATTTTCTAGGCCCTTATTTAGTTTCTTTATTTTCAGAAAATTTAATGCCTCGAAGACTCACTCACTCTCATAAAATACACATTTTGCTCTCTTGATTACACAGGGTTTAGAAATTAAGTTTTTCTCTTACACAACTGAAGTCTATGGAGCATTTTTGTCATTGATTTTTAGTAAAACCAGGATCAGGCTGGCTGGGAAGATATCTTTACCAAGCCCATTTTCAAGGTCTGGTTTTAAGAATTTCTTATTGCCTCATATGTTTTTAATGTTTGTGTATTTGAAATAAAAAAAGGCTTGGTTCTCAATATACTGTGGGTTTTAGTAAGAGGATATACGATTTCAAATCCAGTCTTATCTGCTGAAAGGACTTAGTGCTTCTGTCTTCATGGTGTTTCGTCCTGAGAATTGACATGATTGGGTAAATTTTCATTTCACTTCTCCTGCAATTTTGTTTTTGTGTATAAAATGCTAAATATAAATATGAAATTGGAATACAGTGAACATAGTAGAGTCTAAATAGAGGGGGAAAAAATCCTGTTAACATCCCCTCCCCCCAGATAATTCCTGTTCTCTTCAGGACAGCATTTCAGTAGGCTCCCTCATTTAATTAGATGTGTTTTGATTTCTGTTATTCCATGTGTCTCACATACTGCAATGTGAGTACACACCACTACTGAAGTTAAGGACATACACATATTTATAGATATATTTGTGAGGTTTGGGGCTATGCTTCTGAAATTTTAAAGCAAGGAACTATATCAAGCCATGATAATGTTGAAGGGGATGAGCCAGTAGGTATTTTGATGGCATTAATAATATAATGGCAATTAGGAAAAACGGAGAGCAGTTCCGTTTCAAAGAGCAGATCTAATGTCAGCAAGTCTGTTTTCTTACATTATCTTCTAGAGAAAGCATCTGCAAGTTACCATGTAGCCGTTACATGCATAATTTTAGTTGTCATTATCTGTTTAAATTTCCTTTCATTTTCCACAACTTTTTAAGTATCATTATTACATTTTTCCAGTTTTACAGTTCACACTATTTTAGAAACACCTACAAAAGGCCCAATCTATTTTGTAATTGTTTTGCAAAATAGCACATTCATGCTTTACTCCTTTTTTTAAGCTGAGTTGAGATCTTGGGCCCAATTCTGTGAAGTCCTGAGCTGTTTTTAACACTTCAAAGGCCTTGTATCTGGGAATGTACAGCCTCAGGCTATGTATCTATTGACAGACCTTGTTTCACCTGTCCAGTACTGTTCATTAAGTATTTCTCCAGGTGTGTAAATTCTGTGTGCTTTCCAGACTATAATGAATTTAAGCACTTAACTGCTTTTCTGAATGACATATTTATATGATTTATGAAATTGAACAAGCATGTGAGAAACTTTTCAGGGTCTTCCATGTCTGTGTAATAAAAGTTAGATTTTTAAATGTGTTTTATTCCTTAAGAATGCTAACACATTCAAAATTCAGAAACAACATGACAGAGACAGGGCTGCCCCACTCACACTCAGTAGTCTCTGTTGAATTTGGTCTGCACTCATGTCTTGCATCTCTTCTACCCCTGGAAGTCTCCCATGATGTTACTGAAGTTACTGCTGATTTACATGAGTATACATAAGGGGGAAAATCTGCCTGGCTTTGAAAACCTTTGTAGAGGCTCCAAGTGGAAGGATGCCGTTGTGTATCTTAATATTCACTAGGCATTTTATACTCAGTAATAGTGGGAAAACAGTGTGCATCTGCTTTATAACTAGGAAACAATTATCAGACTATTTTGCTCTTGAGTAATAACCATTTAAAGGAGGATGGTGTCTCAAGCAGCAGTGCTGGTTTTGTGTGTCTTCTAAGAGTCCTCCGATTGTAATTGCTCTTCTTTCTTTAGAGCATTTACTTTGATGCTCTCTAACACACACTTACTACTTTTAACCTTAACAATAGATTCAGCAAACCTTGCTACACCCAATTTACACCTTGGGAATAGACACTGAAAGGTTCATCTGGCGTGCAGCTTGTGGCAGAAACAAGCGCATCAACCCGTCAGGCTTGCAAGAAAGTGATTTTTAATTGTGCAATTGCAGCAAGCTGACAAAGTCTGCTACATGAGAAAAAGAGAACTGTTTTGAAACTAAATTAGGAGGAAGCTTAACTGATGAGATATGGGGTCTGCAAATGAAATAGTCTACACTGATCATTTGAGTCAGATTGTTCCTCTAGTAATATTTCTTCTCACCAAAGAAATCAAAGTAGAAAAATAAATGACACAGGAATAAGAGGAAAAAATGCATAATCACTACAGTTGGATCAGCACATGATTTTCCTTAAAAATATTGAAAAGTCTGTAAAGATTTTAAAAGATCAACCTGATTTCATCTTGATATTTATCTTGCAGCACAAGTTTTTTTTTCCTGTAACTGTTAAATGTTGCTTCATTCCTTGTTCCATGACATTCTCAAGACTATCATGTGTTTAATCCAAAATGCTTAACAGAATGCTAGAGAAAAAATTCCTGGACTTAAGTGAGATGCAGCCATAGCTAAACACAACAGCTATTCCACTGTAGTAACCATATAAAGCCTTTATGGGATGAAAGCGAAACTACTGCAAGTTTAGTTAAAACTGCATTAGTTAAAACTGCATTAAACAGCAGTAGGTTAAATAAATGTCATAAATGACCCACCAACCTATGTGCTTCAAGTAAAGTTAATTATTTATAAGATCAGTGATAGGAGGAGATGCTTTCTCAGGTGGAAAGTTGAATATACATACACTCACCAGTAGTGTTTGCTTGTACCGTTTTCCTCATCCATTCATAAGAGCTGTGCCTTTGGCTGTTGGGAGAGATGTGCTGTGCATTAATTGTTTCTACAGGAGGTAACCCTCCAGATCCAGCAGGATGGAGGGAGTTGTAATCAGCACAACTGTAGGAGACCTGTCCAGGAGACGAGCCATTGATCTGTGCAGCAGCAACCGTGCTGGAAGGTCCTGGGCCATAAGCGTTCCAGTCCTCCCTCTGTGGGCCGTAGTGAGATCCCCAGGTTCCCGCAGGCTGCCCATGGGTGTCCAGAGTTGGCACATGATGGTATCCCATGTAGTCTGAATAGGGTGGAGTAGACACAAAGTTTTGTACTGGCAGGTTGTTGTTACCCCTTGCAGATCCTGGATACATGCTGGTCTCTTTATCCAAGAGGGAGCTCACATACATGGTTGTCACAGACAGTAAATACCTTGTCACAACATCTTGTTCTTCTGTATTTTCTTTTGCTGCTTAAAAATATTTCTGTTTGGTTTTCTCTAATAATGCCACTCTGCTTGGAATCTTCTACTTCATCCTCTTTTATTATCCACTGTGTTACCAGGTGCTGGTGGTAATGGTTTACCAAGATCTTGTCTGACGTCAGCCTAACTGCCTGCCTCATAATTACATTTACATTCAAATGAAGGGCTGACCCACCCCACCTTTCTGCTAGTTCTGGTGCTTTCTCTTTTACACAACTTTTATCTATCCTGTTACCCTTCCCTGATATTCAACAGCAATTCCGGTACTGTAAGGTGATGCAACAGTTACTTGCATTTGTAACTTAGTAAACCTTCTTTTTTAAGAACAGTGGTTACTATAATAGCAATGTTTGGTGTTCAAATTATTCCTGTCCAAATGTGATCTGTTATCAATCAAGAAGTAAATCTGTTACTCTCTTAATTTTTCAGATACTAAAAAAAACCACTCTTGCATTTTTACTTCTTAAATAAAGGGACACAGTAAATTTGAATAGTTGTAAGTCAGTAACTTCAAAATACAGAGCACCTTGTAAACAGCATGTCTTGAATACAACTGTGTCAGAATTTTCCCCTTCATTATTGATATTTGTAAGTGGTTTTCCAGAATGAGAGAAATTAAGGATCTAACTGGGATGCATGTTCACACTCTCTCCATGAAGAGTAGTTTAGAGATCCCTTCATCTGATGGCCATTGCAAACTGATAAATTTTTCAAAGCAGACAATTAATCTTCCTAACAAAGATGTTGCCAGAAGTACAAAGAAAATGACTGTAAAAAGTAGTGGAAAAAGTCTTTGATTAGGCTCAGTAATATTGTTGACTTCTGTTTCAATCTGAAGACAACCTTTATCTGTCTGAAAGGCTGGGTTCCTTCCTCTGAAACTGTTGTGTAGTCAGTCATCTGTTTTCTGTGGTGGCAGCTTAGGTAAGTGCAATCAGCAGTGAGAAACATCTGGGTTATCACATTAGTGCATCAGAACTGCCTTGATGCTTTTCTGTGAAGCGTCTGACACACGGGCACTCGGTAGGCCAGTGTAAGCCTTCCCACTGAGAAAAAATACTCTGAAGGTGGGTTTATGTGTCTTATTAAGAACTTGACATTAACATGGGAGAGCTAGCCCATGCCTTATGGCTTGAGAATTGCCTCTCTGTTGTTGTCTAGCTACAATTTGTTGAGTGAATTTGATATATTTTTATCTTGGATGGATTTCTTTGCAATAAGCTATTTGTCAGGGGCTATGCTTGCAAAAGAGGTGCAAATTACAATGAGTTGTTTCCTTTTACAAAGGTGTGGTTTTTCATTCAGTATCCTTTGTATTTTGACACTACTTGTATTCACACATCCCTTCTAATTCCAGCACTAAAGGATTCTAAATGTGTACTTAAAGGCAGGAAAGATATTCTTCTTCTACTTTGGGTTTGTTGGTTGTTTTTTGGTTTGGTTTGGTTTATTTAAGGAAACAAATTTTACTGAGAAGTGTAGCTAAATTTTTATAATTAATTAACAGTTTTCTTTATTAGTCCTTAGTATCCTGAGAATGTTGGAGAAAGTTGCATCATGGGATAGGACATGGAAAAAGTAAGACCTTCTGTAATTGGTGTACTCTTATAAACACAGCCATTAAAAAACTGGAAGAAACTCTTGTTTCACTTCATCTTTAAAGAAAAAGAATTATAATACATTTTTTGAGAGCCAACACACTTTGTAGTACTTATGTGTGCTATAAAAGAACAAAGATCTCTATTGAGCATCATCCAAATTGAAGAAGGTATATTTCCTCTACTGGAAATATCCTTGGCATCTCTGGTTTATTTGTGAACATTCTGCCAGCAAGAGGTATTGCTCAGTGTGATGCAGAGCTGCCAGTCAGAGCAGATCCATAGGAGGGCAAAGTTTTGTCTCCATTGACTTGATCTAAAATCCATTAACATAGTGCATGTGGACGTGGGTTATTCATAGATTTCAGATCAGACACATTGTTTGACTTCTCCTAAGCACACCTCACATCTCAGTGAGTAACATTTGATCTCATAGAATGCATTAAGATGATGGTAACATTTTAAATCCTTAGACTTTCTCTTTATGAGTTCCCTCCGCACATACCCCCCACAATTTCAGTATCACCTAATCCTATTTTTTGTATCTCAGAGCTTTATCCTTTATTCTCTGGTCTTCTTTTATCTTTTGTTTATGCTCCTCCTTTCTCTTTCTTGTTTTGCCTATTCCATTATCTGAATTTTCTTTAGATCTATTTTGACTCTTTCCAGAAGGTAATTAGATCAAGATACACCGATGGCGAATTGCTACACTGATTTGATACTGGCTAACAATAGTAAGCTTTGAATAAGGCATTTTGTTTAAAAAGATTTACATAGCAGGATAAGATTGCTGCATAGGACTGCAGATTTTTAACACCAAAGTGAGAATAAGATAACTAAAATTGAAAGATTCAGATGATCTTCTGCATCCTGACTCGTATGCCTCCCATTTAGTGTAACAGAATCATGTGGAAATATTAAAAAGGAATCATGCATTTGCATCTAGTCTAGTAGTTTGAGGCTACCAAAAATTTGGGGTTGATGTTTTTTGAGAGCGAATTGACTGTTAATCTAACTGCCTTGCCAAGAGCCATTTCTTGGCTATTCACATGTCCTTCCTGCTCAGACCCAGCATGTCAGTAGTTTCAGAGCCACAGTACAACTGCGTCTTCGATGTGTAGTAGTAACCTACAGTATAGTCCCAGGAACACTTTTAGTGGGTATTGCTGTCAGGGAGGAGAAAAAAAAAAAAAAAAAAAGAGAAACAAAAAAAAGGTGAACTTCCCTTGCCCTGTTCATATCTGCATTATGAGGGGATGGTAATGAGTTGCTGGTGTCAGAGGAAGGGCGAGTGTGCTGCCTATCTGTGTGTAAATGCTTGTGGAACTGTCCTGTCACTGTGGGCCCCCTCCTGACTTTCTGGGGTGATTGGAATCATAGAATCATAGAATGGTTTGAGTTGGAAGGGACCTGAAAGATCATCTAGTTCCAACCCAAGCAGTTCTAAGGCAGTGGGCTAGATACCCAGAAATCTCACTCATATGGAGGTTTGTATTTATACAATTTTTCTGCAGTGGCTGATAAAAACAGAACAGGAAAGGTCTGTGTGGTATTGGCAGCAGGAGGGCTGTGCTCTTTGGCATGCTTCAGAGAGATGGATTGCCAGAATAACTGAACTCCAAGATTTCAATTTTCCATATTTTTTTTCCACTTGTTAAAATGCTCTGTATAATTTATCTTCTTACCCAGTGTCTGCAGGAGTTGCCTCACTGTTTTATGTATGTAAAATGAAATGTACTTTGAGATCTCTGGAGAACAACATTTTCTAGTTTTGTAACAAGTGGTTGATGAACATCTAGCAGTAATAACAAGCATGGTGAAACCCATCAGAACTACTGAAGTTTTGTTTGTACAGGCAATGTAGATACTATACTATGGTGTATGTGCTGTTCTAAAAAGCATTTCTTAACTAGGTAATGATAATATAATCACAGATGTACAATTAAATGTTTTAATGACAGCTATTATAACTGTAACTTCAGTGACTACTGTTACATTAAAACTGGCCTGTACAACAATTACTGATATTAAAGGTGTTTATACCTGTGATAGTTTTTATTAGCAACACTTACTTCCTCATAAAATTACACGTCCTTTTATGTGGAGATAAGAAGAATCAAATCTGTCCCTCTTTGGAGCTTGACAATTATGTGAAATCTATCTGGAGTTTTGCTTCTGAGGCAGGAAAAGCAGGTGAGTTTAGCATGTCCCATTCTGGCTGAGGTGATAGGAGCAGATGTTTATTGCCTCCAGATGACTACTCTAATGACACATCAGTAACATCAGGCTTAGGAATCCTTCTTGCACCTTTGTAACTGCATGCTTGTAATTTCAATGGAATGGCTAACTTAGGACTTTGTTAGTGAGCTATGTATCGCTAGTAGTTTTATTGCAGGTTTTTGGAGGTGCTGGGTTTTGCACACACACCCATTCCTCCTCAAATTAATAGTCAGCTGTATAAATCTTGAGGAAAGATCATTCTGACTAACTAGAAAACAGTCTGTTTAGTCTTGAAGGAAGGCAGATGCTGTTGCTTTCACTGAAGCTTCTACAAGCACAAATCTTCAGATTTATTTTTTTTGACCTTTTTAAATTGGGTTGTTCAGTATGCAACTCCCTAGTTAGGGCTCATTTTCAGGGCTTGAAACGCAAGCACTTGCCACACTGTATCTCTGTATTGACAGATGTGGCACAGCTCAGAGAGCTGAACCAGCAATGGTGGATGAGTATTTTCACTTGCTGAACTGAGCTCTCCTGAGGAAAAAGAAAAAAGGAGGTAGCACAAGTTTCAGTTCTGTGCTGTGCATTGCTCTCATCCCTCATGTGTAAGTCCTTTGCATAAGAGACCAGCAGTAGAAATGAAAATGTCAGTTGTCTGTGAAGCCATCCTCAATGGTTTTATTTTTAATTCCATGCTCTGAAATTGTTAACAAATCCTTTTGAAAAATGATGAAAAGTGACTTGTTGGGAGCATGGTGATTGTATTTACCCTTTTGTCTATTCCCCTACTGTTTTGCTAACTGCTTCCAACAATTACTTATCTTTCATTTCTTAATGTTAACTTTTGCATTTTATTGAAAGTAGCTACAATATGTTGAATGTATTATCTGCATCAGGGTTGTATTTGGCAGGAAAGAATGGTCTGGAGCTAAAGGAGGGTTTATGATTCTGAAATGTAAATAATTTAGAATCTGCTACAAAATCAATACCGATAGTAATAAGGGTATGTCTTACTGCTCAACAAGTAGACTGAATATAGCAGGTTACAGGTTAAACCAATTCTTTTTAGCAGAGCAATGGAATTAAACAGCAAATCCTCTACTGATATGTATTTGGTTTCCTTCCTGAGTCAGGCAGTGAAAGGCTCCCACTAACTGTAACTAGCTCCTGCTGACCAGAGTACAGCTGGATGGGA